GCTGTAATAATACATGTTTGAGTATCTACAAATAAAAATAAACTTACCGTAGGTAGATATTTGTTCCCGGTAACGTCTTCGTCCAAATGTAAGTTTTTCAGTCTCTCTGACTAAAGATATAATAATTGACAAAATTATAGAACTTGTTGTTTCATAATGATTTTTCTTAAATGTTCAGATGATTTTTTTCAACATTACAGTATTTCCCTACTTAAACTTAAGATTAAACATACCAACAGAGTTCTTCTGTAATATCAACGGAGTATACTTTGTACAAAACGCGTCAAAAATTGAACCAATTGTTTAGCTACAGTCTAGATGTTGTAAAAAACGTGTGTAAAAAACAACTTAGGTTCGACAGAGACCATTCTGCAGTCGTTTTACCGACCTTACTCCTTGAACTATGCCTCGTAGTGTAATCCCTCAAAAAAGCCCGATTTTAGAGTGTATGTAGGCCTACAGGTACATGTTTAAGGTCAAACGACTACATCGAATCATAATTTTCAGACTGTTTATAATGTGACAAGACTTGCACTTAATTTAATGAAGTGTAGTTGGAAGTCAACCACTGGGTTGTTCTTAAAATACCCTACATTAGAAGAGCCGCCGCTATTCCCGAATAATAAAACGAAGGTGTTTCGACCTTTTAAGCTCTGTAAATAAAACACAAACCAATTTCCTCTAGAAACTGTTGTGGAAGGGTTCAGAGGTGACCTGTTGTCATGGAAACATTAGACAGTAACACAGATTGAAAAATACGAAAATTCTCTAAATGACATTCTGTCAGCAGTTTTAGATACTAAAACGAAATGTTAAATGGAGGTTTTTGAATATTGGAAAGACGTGGTTAGCTTGTAAGACTGTAAACTGTTATGTCTTGTCTGTTAATGAATACCACATGGCCCGTTAGGTCTTTTTCACAGTTTGTTTATTGCGAACTCTTGATGACTTAGGCGTGCACTTCCGATCTGTGCAGAGTTAGAGTAATTGCCGTTTTATCATGTCGGAGATGCATAGCTGGACAACACGAAGACTTGAAAATCCTATTTTATTGATAACAAGTCAGAATAATCTATTTTGCCACGTATAATGAAACGGTTGTGATGTAGCATGTGTAATGTGTAATACGATAAACATAACATGGGCTTTAAAGTCACGTTTTATTATTTGCAGTAGAATCAAATATTAAACATGTTTAAATAAAAAATAACGTTAATATTAAAGCACATGCCTGCAAAAGCAGTATCATGCAGTACAATACAGATCTATATTAACAATATATATTACAACACGAAACTTTAACTTGATCTGTCCATTTTCATGCCTCTTAATTCCAAATGAAGAATAATGATAATATGCTACAATCTGACTAACAAAAACAAACAAAAAAACTCCACGTGTCATTAGTAATACTAATCAAACTGTGATGTCTATAGTAAAGTTAAATTGATAAAACAATGGCTGTCAACGCAGTTCATTCTTAAATTCTTAAAAGATGGCAAACGCTAAGTCCATTGGTAGGACAATATATTATTAATAAAGCACATTAAGTTTGTAACTTTCAGTAGGATGTATTTACATTAAGGGTAGGGGTAAAGCATACTTTTTATCCGGCATTCATCAATGCTTACTAAAAGTTAGCAGCTAAGTGTCATTGGGTTAAAAACCGACGGGTAAAAATTCTTAATAAAACCCTTTTATAAAAGAACCTATACACAATTGACATGCGCCATAGCATTTTCAGTCTTGCAAAGTTGGTTTTTCATATACTTTTCACTGCATAGAAAGGTATTTTGGCCAAACTTAGTCCTGTTCCCTGACTAACTTACGCTAGTCGTTTATTTTTATATAGAATTACTAATGTCTTTAAGCGGTCTATTATAAGCTTTCTGATTTGTCATCGAACTGTTACATTTCCCTCGAAATGATGGAACGAGTCACATAAGATGATCCACTTATAATATACTTGATCCGTTCTGCCATTTGTTTCATCCGGATATTTTCCCTGTCGGCTACTTTGTTTTATGAGGGTAGGTACCACACCATGCCGCAGTGTTTTAGTATATAGCATTCTTTTCAGAACTGGAAAATAAGCAAAGCATGCAACTGGTAAGCCGTTAGTACAGCAAGTAGACTCGAGTGAGCGGGTTGTTAAATCAGCCACATGTATAGATATTGACGATCTGCACACCATGAGTTCCCACTTTTCATATGCGATTTCCGTTCTCGTCGGAAACGCTTTTGTGGTCTATAAATGAGAACTTCTCACAAAATAATTTCTGGAATCCAGGGTGAATGCAACATTGAGATATACTAAAGCTTTGTTTTGTCTCGTTGTTAGTATAAATCCAGATAATCAACACATAGCACATTATATGTAACATCAAGCATATCGATAAATGGGCATGCAAATAGTTGGGTAGGGTTGCAAGAAATACATATATAAAGGCATATTTGAATGTCTAAGAGGACTCTTTCTCGAGTCTATATCTTGTACAGATTACGATTGTAATCTTGAACATGTCGTTAGGTGTAATAACAGCACGGCAGAAATGCAGGTATTTTTCAAGAAAATAAACGGTAGGATAACAATAGCTGTGATAGACATTGTGCCGTATCATGCACTTATTTGTTAAAAGGCGGTAAGTATTTTGATATATAAAGAAACTGCACAGGAAATATCAGGAATTTATCAGCACGTACCTCTCCCTTCCTGGTGACCTTGGTTGTAGTGGTCTCTTTCCCATTGATCGTCTCTTTTGTCGTCGTAATTGTTTCACCGTTAGGGCCAGTCTTGGTTTCTGTGACAACCATCCTGGAGACAGTTTGAGGACCGCCCTGGTTGGTTACAGTGCGAACAGTTCTGGAAAGAGAATCGTTGTATTACTGAACGATTTCCAGGTAAGTTCCACTTTGGGAGTGACTTTTCCTGCAGGTTTCAATCTTACTTTTTTTCTTCTGGATTGATAATAATCAACGCCCCTGGTTGGCAAGGTACGTGTTTTAGAGAGTGTCAGGAAAATAAAAATTACTGGAATCTGCACCGAGTTCAGAGCTCTTGCCCCTGTGATTCTAACTATCTGACCGCTATTATATAGGCATGCAGCTCGCAGCTTCCCAGAAAATCAGAAAAAAAGTCCTGAGAATTTGGCTGCTCTACCTGAATGCGAAAGAACTACACAAAATAATAAATTTCACCGGGGAACCTGAAGCTGCGCACCTGGGAAAACTGTTTACCGTAAAACATGCCTTGTTTGTGCCTATATTGAAATCTCATCCCCGTCACACTATTAATACAGCTAATGGTCACATATTTTTACCCGACCTTTAACATTTTGCTAGCAAGTACAAGAGTTGTCCGCTAACTTCTTTTTTGGCCACCATGTTATTTCATATTTAAAGGGGAGAAATACACAGACTATTACAGGGATTTAAGACTCACATGTTGCTGTCCCTGAAACATACTTGTATTCTACCAATGCTCTAAGTACATTTTACCTAGCTAACACACTTGAAAAACAGGGGCCTCTACATCATTTCTTGACATGCGAATATTTTTTTAAAATATGCTAAGAGGCTATAAGTGAGAAATAATGATAACAAATGTGTTTTGAACGAAAAAATCTAGTTGCAATTTAGAACCCGTAGAAATGAAATATGAATACTCATGTGCACAGGTGGCAAATAAGATGGAAATCAAAAGGCAAATACTTCTTGTAAATTACTTCTGATAATTTGTGTCTGTCTCTTCTAGATTACATACCGCTGTGAGGGTTTCCAGCAAATAGCCCGGCAGTAGATATGGATTAGGCCTATTTACAATACCAGGACTAATATGTCTAAAGAACAAACGTTTTAAATGTTTCGTAACTGAACGCTCTTTGCATTACATCATATACATGAGGCATTTCGTCTAGGGTCTTTTCTATTTCCACACTTCTCATTGCTGTTTGAGTACTTAGTTTCAAACCTGTTTTTATCCAGTAGAATAAATCCAAAATGTTAAACCAATAAGTTAAAACTGGTGCGTGTGCAAGAGTTTATGTCATATTTAGTAGGAAAATTTTACAAAATTGAATGTGACAATTAGAATACATGGCAAAGGGGTCGTTCAGAATGAGTTACTGTGCACTAGCTTGTTTCCAATGCACTTGTATAATCAGCAGCTTCTCTGTATTCTCCTCAACGCCAGGAGGAGGCGTGTTAGTCTGTTAAGCTGACTGCGTTTAGCAAGAGTCCCTGTTGAGATAGTGCACACTCTATAGCTAGTGCGCACTATTACTCATTCTGAACGGCCCCAATGCAAAGACAGCAAGAAGGTTATCAGTAAAGCTCACCTCTGTGTTGAGGTTGTGGTAGGCATTGTCTTTGTGTGGACGATCCGTGTCATCCCCGAGTCTCCCGGACTACCGTCCGCTCCTCCAAAACTTCTGAATGTCATAGGTTTAGGTTCTGAAAAAAAATTGTCATATATCTGAATATTATATCGAAGGACAAATGATGTGCTTTGCGTCGCGCTGAAACGACGGCGCTTTACGTTTTTAAAAACAGAACTAGCACAAAAAATCATCTCGACAGCTGCATCGAGTCATTGTGTTTTCGAGCAGAATTATTGCACTGTGTATCATAACCTACCTTCTTTTTTAGGCAGAACGATGGGTCCGTCTGGCTTGAATACATTGTCTTTAAACTGTCCCATCATATTGCCTGCTGGACGATAGCTGGCCACCACGAAAATTTTGCCGTCCTTGGCCTTGGCTTGACCAAGTCCAACTTCTTTGCTGCCCTTCCATACCACCTGGGTGAAATGTCCTGAAATACAAGCTCTCAAAGTTGATGTGGATATTGAGCTTTATGAAAACAATAATATTATTTGTACAATATTAGAACAATTTTCTCTTATATAAAATAACACCTCCAAAGGAACTTAAGCATATTTCGACCTTTTGTCTATCGAAAATAGATGAAGTTTTCCTTTGTGAACAAGGAACCGAGGAAAAACCTGTTTAATCAATTATACACTGGTAAATTTTATCGTTATCATTGGGGATGAATTATGAAGCAACCGATGAGACCATGAAATAAACAGTCTCTCTTTCCATATTTATCACAACATAAGCAGGGCACAATGTGCACTTTCCCACAAACCGAACGACACATTAGAAAGATTTATATGACTAAGGTCTCTAGGCATAATTCTTCACACATTGCCTGGGTCCTTCATGTCTATCAAACCAAATCACACTGGTTTACCATTTTCGATGACAAAAAATAATAATTAAATTAAAAATAATGTATATTAATAAATAAAAACATACTAATAGTTAAGTAATCAAAATAAAGTATCCACGCCGTTTTCAAAATAACAAGAAAAACAAAGTTAAACCACTTTCACGCATCCTTAATGCCCAATAAAGAACTGGAAAGACTACACAGGTGCATACTAATATATTTTTAATTCTATCACTGATTATAATTAACAATCAAACTTCTAACCAACAACCTGAAATGTTCATCATCTCTGTTATCCCACTGGTGTCATTAAGATGAAAATAAGAAAGTACAGTAGTCTTCGGCTACGTTGTCTTTAACAGGAGCTTTTAACTCGTGCGAGTGAAGAACGTGTCACCGCATGACGAACCTTAATTCCTATCTCACCGCAGTGTCTTTAATATTATTCAGTGTGCCCTTCAGGAACTATTTAATACGTCATGTTATCTGACACTATATGATGTTAACATGCAGATGCCTTTACTGCTAATTCAGTAAAAAAAATAGGGACTTCTAAATTCATTAGACATTTCACTTGTGTCGAATACAGAATGGTTTTAGTCGCTGAAGTACGTAAAGCGTGTTTAATTGTAGTCTTAATTATTTCCATGTCACTCGTAATATGGAATTCTTCCGTTAGTGTTTAAAAAAACACAACCTAGATATATAATTTATATATTCAAAAACTGATCCCGTAATTACAAACAGCGATCGCTTCGCAGCTGAAATTGAGCAAAGGGAGGACGTGACACTAAAATAGGATTCAACAAACAAGTTAACCAGTTCATTTCTTTTTGAAAAATTAAGCCTCGCGTGACAGTCGAGCAGACATCATAAAAACCTAATTCACACAGGTCATGATTTGGTGTCATATTCAGCTACTTGTCTTACCTCCGTACATTCCGCCAGGTTGCACTCTCCTAAAATCCATGTCGATTTAGAAAACCTTTTCTGTGTGTTGAGAACAGTAGTATAGGATTTCCTAATTGTATTGTTACGTTTATTTATTGCAACATGTGTAATTTCGGAAGTGACTAATTTTTTAACGACGACAAAAGGGGTCAAGGCTTGGGGATCGTGTCATGTGACAAGGAAAAAAGGAAGCGACTCTGTGAGTCAGCGCATGTTTCTTATTTTCTTTGCTCAACTATAAAGTATGTTTGAAATAAAAACCGAACTGTATCATATGTGGAATATCCAACGACGTGTAAATTAGTGGATACATCATCACGAGCTGTGTTTACTATATTAAAAATCGGTATTATAGGATCAAAGAGGGGACAGAGGCACCTGTTCCCTTAGGCTTTCTTTAAAACAAATTTAGCATACATGATACAGTGTTACGAGACTGAGCGAAGCCAACTTTTTTCTTCTTGTCCCAGCCACCTGCTTGTGGTAGAATAATGGCCCCTTTAAAGGGTATACAAGTACATACTATGTAAGCAGGTTACAAAGCCTACTCCATAAAATTTCAGCGCAGAAACCTTTTTGTATATATTCAAGCAACGCCGCAACTCCCTTTGTCATCTTTTTTTTTACGGTGTACACGTGTAAGAAACCAGAGGAAAACAGTTGATTTACTTTGGCAACGACCATACAATCTAAAGCGCATTACCCTGCAGGTAAAGTCGCCGATGTTGATTCTGCTAGAATGTGTTCAATCTTATCTAACACAATGAGTGATGCACCCAAAGAACCAAGACTTCAAGACAGATGTAATACAAGAATTGCCTTTCGGCCCAAGAAGCATACAAGGATTTTCCCGCAATACCAAAACAGAAAACGTTAATTTGCCCCCCCCCCTCTCAACTCTTTCTCTCTCTCTCTCACCTGTTCCGCTGGAGAAGTCACTCCCAAATGTATACTTGGCTACTTCACTGTACCACTGGTCAGTCACCTGTTGGCCTGTTGACGATAAAATATGTGCTAAAATACTGTCTAACTGAACATAAATCCGTATTTTTTACACTGGTAAATGCAGAAAACCTGAAACGTCGAAGCGTTTACTTGAAACATTGAATCAGCAGAGTCTCAATTTGTTGTTAAAACTATATTTTAATAATTTAATTGTATTATAATACAATATTACCAAACACAATTTATATGATATGCCTCTATCATCACCTGTGAACGGGTCTCCAGAAGACGTGTACTTCATGGCGATATTCTCTCCGAGACGCTCCCCTTTGTGCATGCAGTCACTGTGCCTGAAGTTTCCAGACTTGGCAATGTTGTCCGCCCATTTTTGGGCGTATTCACACAGATCCTTGGCTTTGGTCAGAGGACCGACCTTGTGTTTAGCGCGATAGACATTATGGGCTGCCACAGCATCGTCGACAAATTTAGACCCCATCTTGTGCAAGCGTCGTCTCAGATGTAGCAGTGGCTCAGATGTAGATTTTGTTTGGTATTCTGTGAGATAAAATAGGCATTTTAATATTCATCCCATGTATGCTAGGTTTACTACATGAGCAGATCGATGAGTGAAAGAGCACATGTCCAGCAAACACAGTATTGACCATAAGTATCGCAACAATAGCAAATTCTGAATACTGATGTAATATCCTATCCGAAGCGCAGTTGCAGTGCATTAGCAGATTCATGCAGTGCTGTAGAGCGTAAGCCGATTATCTAATCAATATAGTTACATTGAGTATTTTGCCAAGGTAAATAGATTTCTTTGAGTCACTGGTCACTTGTGTAAAACTGATCGAAGATATCGATGCCATGACCGCATATATTATTTTCGCTAGGCCTAAATTATATTTTAGTATCATATCATCCACTCCGTAGATAACATTATTTAATTACATCCTAAAAGCAGTTATATCATCCATTTATCCATTTTTGGTTTGACGTATGTAGGTATTTTTTTTCTTTTTGTTCACAATCTAACTGTACATTATTTTTAGTTTTAATCGCCATGACTTCAAAACAATATTGAAATTGTCAATGCAATTTTCATTAAAACTTTTACGCTAGCTTGAAAAATGAAGAATGTTACTTATTACTAATTATATACATGTATATTTAAACAGAGATTTTTTACATTACAATAACGCCATGAATAATAAGCCTCTTATCATATCACCTTTATCTTCCTTTATCTCCCTATCACGTTAATCCAGGCTAATATAGCACTGTCACTAAAGAAAAATGACCTACAAAAAGTTCACGCTCATTTTAAAGGTTTTTACTTCCCACAAGAAAACACGTCACACGTTTCCGATTTGTGTCACCTGAGCTTTTGCGCTGTCATAGCTGCATCACCTTTCCTTTTAAGTCACCCGTATGTCATCATTGACACTAGCTTGCTCCATTGTTACCACAGCCTTTCATACCAGGGTCAAGGATTCAAATGTGGGGTCGCCAGGGTGCATTTATTTACGGAACATTTTTGTGGGTGTTTTTTCGTTGATATTTGTTTGTTTATTCGGATACCCATGGGTGTCGTATCTGTCCCTTTTTGGAATATGACGTCATTTTTTAGCATTGTGATATGCATTGCTGACTGATAAATTCGGAAATCATGACACTACTATTAATATCGAAAAATGGATATAAAAACATTGGGGTTCTTTTTATCGCAAATATCTGTGAGCATTCATGAGCTGACAGAACCTTTAGATGATTCTAAAGGACACTGCCAAATTGAAAGTCTGAGTATAAAATGTAACATTTCACAAGATTAAATACCTCTTGGTTATATATATATATATATATATATATATATATATATATATATATATATATATATATATATATATATATATATATATATATATATTCTCGACAGTTAGTCAGTGATAGTTTTCACTTGTATACAGCTTACTTTTTGCCTCTCATGTTTGTGAAACTTAATAGTTTATGCTAATTTTATCAGGAACATGTGATATGATGAGTCGTGTAATTATTGTTTATCATGTGTTCAAGCGAAATGCGTTGTATTTTTGAACATGTGAGACGGTCGGCGGTCAGGCGGGGTCAGGATCAAGTAAAAAAAGAAATCGCGCTTCTTGTAGGAGAGAGAAGGAGAGAGAGAGAAATAGGCGAATTCTTTCTCCACACAAAGAAACGCACGCGTGCGCGTACACGCATGCAAAGCACGCACACACAACTGTGGGACCAAGGGTAAACTCTATATCCTATTCAGGAATATTGATAAACTGGATTAACACTTTTTGAGAGGGCAATTGCAGCTGCGACCGTTAACATGTTGATATATGTATACATACACGATGTAAATCAATTGCTATATACATGTACAGTATATTAATAAATACCACACACACACACACACACACATTGTAAACACAGCAACGGATTTTTTAAAGGATAATTAGCTGACATCATGGGAATCATGCATAATAATTCTCTCACGGCTATATTTCATTATATTGTTATGACAGGAATAGTATACCCTCAAAGTCACAATGTCACAAAGTTCATATGCTATGGCTTTTTCACAGAGACCTAGATCTCTTTCAGTTATGACTCAAACATATGTAACTGCTGTGATATGCTTGAAGCAGATGAAATTAACCATGTCTTGCAGTAACCTAGCAAACTACGACCAACCATGTTTAAAATAGAAATTAATGAATGTCTCATAATCATACGTTTCATATGACTTACCACGCCACTGTAACACGTGTCGAATCCGAATGGTACAACAATCACAAAAAGAGATTGCCCTGTCGCTAATTAAAACTATTGTTATGTACATATGTTATGTATATGTATATGTATATACAGTATATATGCCGTATTGCTTACGAAAACTACCAGATCTGATTGTGAAATCTTTTTCCTGTCCTTCTGCGCCATCCGTGGTTTCTATTAAGAGTTTCGTTCTATTAACAAAGCAACAACGGATATTTTTCATCGGAATATATCTTTCCAGAATTTAGAATTCATGACTGTAGGCAGCAATTTCAAAGGCAAGGGTGGGGTGGGAGACTTTTTCTGAAAAGTGGATCTTTTATGGCATAGCAGCAAATTTAATTCAGATCGGGCCTTTTACCGGCCAAATGGGCCTCATACCACCCCCCTCCCCACCCTACCTGAAGACCTTCAAAATAATTTGACTATTATACAAAACGCTATGAACGTACCTGAAATATACGTACTGTATAAGCTTTCTAGCTTTACCTTGGTCGTATGAGATTAATTCACCACCTGCAGTGGTGATTTAAACGTTCAAAAAACCAACCTGTTGCAGTCTCCTTCAGTTATGAATAGTACTATCATCCCTAGCCAGGATTTGATTGTCGTTATGTGACGTGGCTAAATACCTGTTTGGGCTGGGGCAAATCAAACAACAATCAATGTTACACCTCCGCAATGTCAACAGTTCAAATTAGCAATATAATATAATTAGCTATATAACTGTCAAATTAAATATCGAATACTCTTAAACCGCCCTTTTGTTAGTCTTTCCGCCCAAAACCACGCAGAAAATTCGTAATCTATTATCGTAGTACATGTATATCGACATAGAAACCTTTATCTCTGGAATGTCAGACCACACTTGGGTGGGGGAAAATTACGGAAAGTACGCCAAATCGAGTTTCCCCCCAAGGAAAGCAATTTTTCTTCTACTGACAAATCATGGCTCAACCCGTCCCTGCACGTGGATTCGATGTCTTATAATAATTCTTACTTAATAATTTGCTCTCAAATTAGGTTTTACTTGCCAGTCACTTAGACCGCCATGTCCTCCTGAGCATTTTAGAAAGAAATGTCGACTCTAGTTTTTTTTCTTCTTTTTTTTTAGGGGTTTTAAAGGTCCGATTGGGAAGAGATAAGTAGCTTTGCAGGATATGTAGACAAAGAAAATATATCTTTGGGACATTTTCATTTGAGGATCATATACCTTTAACCTCGCAGGCGAATAAAACAGCATGATGCACAGGAGACAAGAAGTTTTCGGAACCTACGTGCGTAAAGCGCATGAGCCGCAGCTGTTGTCGTTGTTGGACAACATGCTTTTTTGATATGACAGATACGTGTAAGTGTTATCCGTCTTTGCGGCATCTGTAGTAGAACGGCATTATTTTTTATAAAGTCATAGTTAAAAACATTAATTTTGCTGATTTCTTCAATTATACATGGTTGTAGTTTTAAGAGCAAGTTTAAGGGTTTTAATAAGCCTTTTTTTATATTATGAATTCAATATCCTTTATAACAGCACCATTTTTGAGCGGAACTTTAATTGAACAGATCAAACGTCTCGAAAACGAGATCTCTTTGCGGAGAGGAGACAAGGCGCAACAAGACTGGGTCGAGATAACAGAGTAATCCTGAGATAGGCATATTTATAGGTTGCCTCCCCTAGTGTCCACACTATTCTAATTATCTTTGGAAAGTTAATCTCAACTGAACAAGGCTTTTATGGAACGAAGTTTATTTTCTATCGCCAGTTTTAAATCCTGATAAAATAAAAAGTAGGCGAGGACCTAACTTTAAGATAAAATAGTCGGTAGCGTGGGTGTCCCATTGTACTTAAGCGCACATGTGGTTTTGCATGAAGTTGCTTTTTGCTTTTTTTTCCAATTCAGAGATTTAGAGGTAACCAGTTACAAGTAGAAAAATCATGGAGAAACAATGCGATTTCAAAAGAACGATTAAAGGGATAACGACGCTTCGTATGAGATTCAAAATTCCACAATAAATACATTGTAAACAACGCATAAAAATGTAAATTCCACTTAACCACCCAAATGGCGATTAATTCTTATACCCGGCTATCGCGAGATAGTGGACCGCATTTGATTGCTACCCTCCATAATAATCTCTTACCTTTGGTAAATATGGGAAAATTGTCGTTTACCCCAGGAAAATTCGTTTAATGACACTTTTGAAGAGCTGTTATCCTATTTACAGTGGCTATGGAGAATAAAACATAGAAAACGAACACTGACGTTGAATGAGGGTTTTAAACAATTCAACAATGTAGAAAAACGATGCTCAAACGAAATAAATACAAAACATTAATCAGATGACCAAGGTTTGAATTTGAGATGAAACTAAGGCCCCGTCTTTTCCTTCAGGGTAAGGCGGGGCAGGGGAGGGGGAGGGACAAGTCATCTCAGCCTTAGGCAGCATGCATTCTCGCCCGTAGCTGTAGCTGTTGTGAGAACTTGGTATTGGTTACCATTATAGTATGGAACAATTGATATGTTTTGATGATAATGATAATGATAACCTTAGTGTTATGTATAGAATTCCATCCATATTGTTTTATAGACAAGCACACGGAAGCTAAAGATGTAGCCTACGTGGCGTGAAGATATCTTGATAATGTGGATGATGATGATGATGATGTACATATTAATCTCGGAAAATGTTCTCCAAGTTATCAGTTCATCTTCTTGGTTATTCACAGGTTTATTTAATATACATGATGATAATGGTAGGCCCTATATGTCTGTGTGTGTATGTGTACGTGTGTGTGTGTGTGTGTGTGTGTGTGAGAGAGAGAGTTTCAATGCATTATTCTACGACGTAGTAGGTTTAAAAATTTTTACTACTCCCTTTATCATTTCAACTATAGTTGCATTATAATTATACGAAGTATTTAAAAAAAGAAAAATGTAATTAAATGAAAAATGGAAGCTCTTCGATGCCAAAATGACGCTCTTTATCATACTAGTAACTAGGTCGCGCGTAATCAAGTTTGCCACTTGATCAAATGTTTATGACTTCGTAGTTCATGAAATATGTAATCTTCTATTTCGTGTTTGGTATGAACAAAAACAAGCTAGTGATAGTCACCAAGAAGACATCGTGTTATCGCACGGCCACTTATTTATACATGGTTAAGAATGTTAATACAAAAAATATTGCTTTTCTACACAAATAAACAGTTTATCATAGCCTTGATTTCATTTGCCAATTAAATGCAAAGTTATTGAAAATAAACATACTGATTTAAGTTAGGGTGATGTGCTATTAGTAAGTCTTCATTGCTTATTTTTCTTTGTTTTTAATAGAACACGAAATATTAAGTCACTCTCAATGATTGAATTGAACTTTCTGCCCCGATCCCCATATTCTCTGGTTTGCTTCGGGTTCTCTTTTACCCGTTGACATAAAAATTAGCGCTGCTGTCGTTATCATATGGTGTATGAATATATCTATCGCGGTTCACGTTTGTAACGTATAGGGCGACATTCTTTTCTTGCGTGGTCTTACGTGCACTTTTTTCATATATTCATTGATTGATGGTCAAAGTTCAGAGTCATAGAAAATCTTCTTTAATAATTTGATTTCAATACAAAGATAAATGTCGACGATTACACAGAGATCGCAAAGAAAATAAAGAGAGAGTGTCAACTCACCTCAGTCAGCAGGTCTATGTTTGATGTCCTAGTCAAACGACGATCTTCCTTCCTTCATCACGTGACTGGTCAGAGTCAATTATGGGATAGACGCGGTGTTGGAGTTGTTACTGCTGTCTTATAACGATGTTTACACAGGGCGTGTGCACAGAGCTAGGAATTAGGAAAATGCAGTTTGATGATAAGGTTTATTATCTGGTTGAACCATTGACCGAAGTACAAATACATGGACTGTAAATTTTATTATCAGCCTCTTGAATATTGCAACATGATTTTCATTTTTTTAGTAAATTTTGAGTAAAGGCGGTGGCGCACAAAATCAAAATGCATGCCTGCTTCATGTATTGGCCTTAGAGTGTTAGCCTAATTGCAGATATTTCGTTGAGGGATAATAAACTGAATAAGGGCTATTACCAGAATTGAGTTGTCCCTAACGAGGGTGCCGCTCCTTAGTATTTACGCATAGGCCTATTCTTTGTATTTTACTATCGGTTCGTTTTGTTTTCAGGTATGCTATTAAGCTATGAGTCTATTATTACCAATGACACGCTGACATATAGCGCACTACTATATTGTCAAACCTGTGCGGTATACGTTAATATTGATAGGTTTATATAGAATTTATCTCAATCTATGAAATAATATGCATGATAAACCCGCATATGTTGCTAATGGCAACATGCTAACGCCCACAGCATCGCTGGAGACTGTGTCAGTTAAAGGGATAATAACTCTTCGTTTCGGCCAAAAAATGAATTTTCCTGGAGTAAACAACAATTTTCCCATACTTACCAATGGTTAATGAATTCATCTTTACATTCAAAGTTAGTCCTTGGTTTTTTTCTAAAAAGTTTGGTTTTTTGTTAAAATCTCTTAAGAGATTTTAACAGAGTATAGCCATCAATGGAGGTCACGTGGTCTAAAGACAAGCTCAGATATCAGAATAACAGCTATCACTGCCGTTTTTGTGGTAAAACAGAATATATTATATTTCTATGAGTTATTCACAATGTTTTTATTGTAAAATATATATCTCATACGAAGAGTTATTATCCCTTTAATAACAGTTTCACAGCTGTTGCATCTCGTGTTTATTAACCTTAAAAGTTTTTCACAGTATAGAGATCTATCTTAAGTGACAGTAAGGGTGAACATTGCTTTAAGACATCAACAAATACTTTCTATAAATATTAATTTCCCAGAACTTTTCGACGAAGATTTAAAAAAAAAGAGACATGTTTAGGGCCTATTGGCAGTGTCGCTGTAAGTAGGCCTATGCCAATTTATTCCCTATTGGTAAAAAATATACAGGGAATAGAACGAGGACTATCAAAGAAACATCAGAGATCTGTAGTGACAAATAACGGCTGAAAGAAGTGATTTGTTCGATCTTACTTTGTCAGTAGCCTACTTGTTTCTTTTATGGTTCAATATATATTCTCTTATTGTTCAATATATAGGCCTATATATTTGTATTTACAATTTACATCTTCGGGGGATCCTTATTCTTTCAAAATATGTCGTGCTCTAACTCTTTCAATATTACTACCTATGTCTCCCTATCTCAACCCCCCTCTTTCTTAACGTATGCGTATACATAAGTGTGTGTGTGTTTGAGTGGGGGCATCTTGTGGATGCGTCATTCTGTTACTTTAGTTCTAT